TCGGGGAGGGATGATGGGCTGTGTCTAATGCTGAGGGCTTTGTATTCCAGTAACGGTTTTATTGTAGTGATTTTTAAACGGCCTTCCCTTCCTAATCCTGTTCCAGGCGGGCAGAGGGGAGCTGGTTTTCTGTGACAAGCAGCTGACTTCATATGAAAAAGCTTATAATTCATCTTCTTCATGCTTTTTTTCCCCTCCAGTATTCGTTGACTCATTCAGCAAATATTTAGTGAGCATATAAAAATGCTAGTTGCTGTGCAGTAAAAATAAATATATACAGAAATCAGATGGCGATGCAGAGCGTGTTGGGCAGTGACTTATGATTTACTTAGGGAGATGTGACTCAGCAGTAAGAGGCCGTGTTTAAGTGTCCCGCTTACAGCTGAGACCTGTCCAGCTGAGGCTCTGAGGGGAGGTGCTGGGAGAGGTTCATAGATTCATGGACTGTTGGAGCAGAAAGAGGGTGAGGGAGTCGCTCACTTGTTTTATGGAAGGAGAAGCTGAGATTCCAAAGGCTAGAGGACCTGTGCGTGGTCTCGCAGGAAATGGCTTGGTGGGATCCCCCAGTGCTCCGCCCTGATGGTTAGTGGGACCCGAGGTGACCGGTGTGGTTTTCGTGGGGGGCGACAGAGACAAATCCATATCTTGTGGGTGGGGGCACAGGGACAGGGGTGCAGGGGTGTGTTTGTTAGAAGTGGCTTTAAGTCCCCAGCATTGTCAGGGTGTGGGGGGCATTTTGGAGAGCACTGGAAGAGCTGAAAATATCGTTTAGAATGTGATGGAAGGGCCTTGAAGGTCACGATGAGGGTCTGGACTTGGTTCCGTAGACTAGCGAATGAGTGATGTGTGTGGGAGGGGAACAGATGGAAAGAAACATAAGAAAAGTTGGTGCTATTCGGTAAACTTAGGAAGTTATCATTTATTCCTGTAAATGGTTGATCGTTCAGAGTTGAAATTCAGGGAATCGCTTATACCTGAGAATGAGAGAGGGGTGTTTGTTAATATATGCTTTCCCATTGTTGCTTTTCTCAGCTTGCTTGCTTTCTTATGACATTTTCTTGGTGATAATATTTTCATAGTTAAAGATTAATCGGAACAAACCCATTTGACTCAAATGGAATTTGGACATAGCCATCCCATAAATGCTGAGAAAATAGAATGGATACATTGTAATTGCTTTTCTAAAAAAATATACCTTATATGCCATAATTCTGCAAATACCTAAGTGAAACTTCAAAGGAGCCGGGAAATCAAGTGCCTCATGGTTGAGTAAGTAGACTAAGTACTTAGCCAGGTTGTAAAGGCCGACTGCAAAGAGTGGGGCTAGCAGGGGTCAGAAGTCTTCGCTGAAGTGTCACAAAGGGGCCCAAGCACCCGTCGCTAGGTTACTTACAAGAATTTACCATTTCTGTGGCCAAAAAAGTTGATTGGCCCGGTTTGCGCGTTGCACCTTCTGGTGGGCAGCTCTGCCTGTCGCCCGCCGGTCCTGTCCTGGTGACTGACAGGAAGCGGAAGCTGGCATCCGACCTTGTGCCTTCAGCCTGAAACTTGGCCGGCTGCCCCATTCTGTTACCTGTCTGGACACCAGTTATTTTTGGTTTCGGTCACTTTGCCCAAAAGATAAGGAATTTCAGGAATTTTGCTGAACACCTCTGAAATAGACTCCAAAACAATGGGCCTTTCATGGAACTCTAAACTTGACATTCAGAGTGTTATTTTAACTTGTTTTCTGTTAGTTCAAAGCGTGTCAGCACTTAGCTCCTATGGAAACTTTGGACCTGGGGTGGGGGAAGGTGTCCTGAAACCACAGGACACAGGCTGCTAACAGTACGTTGTGCGTGACCTTTATTTAGAAATGCGATTGATTTCAAATGTTTAGGTTTTAGTTCTCACTTTTAGTTCTGTTTTCACTTGTTTTAGAGCTGCCTTTCCTTGGCCTTTGCTTCTCAAGGGCTGCCAGGCTTTCCCTATTTGAATCAACACGCCCTTCCCACCCTCCTCTGTGGGTGTTTGTATATGAAAGTGTCCTAGAAGGCACAGTTCTATAGACCTGAAAGCCATTTGGATCATTAATTTGGAGTCTTCTTTGGTCGTAAGAATAATCATTGTTTAAAGCGAAATTCGTAATATTATAACGGGAGAAATGTAACGCAGCTGATGAAGTAGCTAATTATCTGTATTGTTTCTGTGTCTTAAGTATATAGGGTTAGATATTTATTTTCTTGATAAAGATGAGGAGTAAGAACTGAGAAATAAATATATACCTGAAGCGGACATGGAAGGAAGAAAATTCAAAAACGAATCTGAAACAAGACACCTAATGCAATCTCTGGTGGTTTTGCCCTTCTATAACCGATGGCGTTGTGGGCAGCGGGGAAGCCGGCGGAGGCCGCGGTGCGGCGGGCCCTGAGACCAGCGCTGCTCCTGTGGCCCTGTGGCCCGGGGCAACACTGCTGGGCTGGAGATCATCGCTCCCGCATCGCAGGGCGGGCCGAGGATCAGATGAGAAATTAAATGTGTGGAAACAACTCTACATCGCAAAGGTTAAGGGAACGGTCGGCGACATTCTTGTTAGAACTGGAGAGAATGATCTAATTATCGTTAATAAAAACGATTCCTTTGAACATTTGATGACACTGTGTTAGGTGGTACTGGGGGCGACGGGGGAAAGGGTTAGGATACAGTTCTTGGGATGAAGTTGGGTGCATGCAAGTTAGGACCGAAGGTTTAGGTGCGAGATAACGGACCAAACGCTGTGTGTCTGGATGATGAATGACTGGGAAGATCAAACGCTCACTATTTTCTAGGATGGGAAGCTGGATCTTGAATAGATGGACGGACAGAAGGAATAAGAGGCTGTTCCACGGAAGTGAGGCCCCCACCCCACTTCTCCAGCCCCCACTGTGGCTGTAGCATTAAGAGGTAGAATTTTGGCCTTGCTACTTGCCGCCAGTGTGACCGCGAGCATATAGCCACCTTAAAACCGGATCTGGCATCTGTGTAATGGATCTAGACCTAGAAGTAGAACAGGGACCCTCGCTGTCTAACTCCCGCAAGTAGAAGATCACGTGGGGAAGGGAAACATGAACCACCGCAACGGTAGGGCTTGCTCGGTACCGGCGACACGTAGTAAGCCCTCACTCGAATCTCTGCCTGTTGAAAGAGAGAACCAAGATCACGTGCATGAATTCTTTGCCTTGATGGCCAGCACGGCGAATGTTTGATGACACGATGGACGTACGATGTGAGGCCGTAGAAAAGTGACATCTCAAGCCTTGCGAAAGATCTAGTGTTTCGTGACATCGGTTTTGAAGATTTGCTAGAAATGCTTTCAGACCCGTTGATGTGCATGTGTGTGTGTGTGTGTGTGTGTGTGTGTGCATAATCCTTACGAAACGCTCACGGTGTTTCACAGTTCTAAGCACTTTGCATGTGTACGTTTCCTCCTTACGATGTACGTACTCGCACAGCCCCCGCAACAGCCAGGGAGCAGCAGCACAGGCCCGCACCATACCCAGCGCGTGCCCTTCGTCTCCCCGCCTCTGCTTGGACCGGTGGGTCGTGACCCGAGGACAGGAAATCGGAAAGCAGGAGGGTGGGCGCCGGAATAGAGAGGCCTCCAAAGGGTAAAGGGAGCTCTCATGAAAAACTGATTCAACCTGTCAGCTGGGCAGCGTAGACAGCGATTAGGACCATGACCTCGGGTCAGATTGCGGGAGCCTCACTGCCTGGCTGTGCGGCCTTGGACAGATGTCTCAACGTGGCTGGTTCCACTTTCCTTATCTGTCAAGTTCAGATAATTCATAGTAGGTGCCTAGAGCGTTAGAGTGGGGTTATCTGATTAAAATACCGTGAATACACCTGACAAATGGAATGGACTCCGTTAATGTTGTTTTCCCTATAATTAATATTTGGGAAAATGGCTCTCTTTATGATCATGCTCCAAAAATCAGACGCGACGAATGTCCTACGTTGTCCTCCAGTTTGAAGCAGTGAGGCCAGAGGTCACGTAGTGACCGGGCAGATGGAGGGGGATCTGCAGAGCATTCAGGTGGAGTCGAACCACGAGCTCTGTGTTGGAGCAGGGTTTTCAGGAGGGAGATAAGTTAGAAAAACAGCAGGTTTAAACCGTCCTCTTTATGGCAAACGGGGAGAGGGAACATGGATAAGTAGCTGCCGTAGAGCCTCCTGGAGACCCGGGAACATGTCTTCATGGCTATAGGTGGAGGAAAATCAGCCCTGGGAGAGGGACCCAGGGTGCAGGGAGGGGCAGGTGCAGGTGCAGGTGCAGGTGGCGGGTGGGGGAGAAGCAGGTGGTTCCAGCTGCTGTTCCCTGCGTGCTGCGGGCCGCCTGGCGTGAGCTCCCCCCGAAGGCTGCCCGCGCCCACTCCATATATTTTAGGAGGCTGGAGGCGGGCATCCGGATACTGTCTCTGTCAAGTTTCCACTTTTTGCTCTATTTTGAGCTTCAGCAAAGCAATCATATCTCATAGAATTTCTTCCTGAGTTAAAGGATCTATAAGCATTTTGCAAATTTAATGTTTGGTGATAACGACTTGGGGTAATATGTCATCTGTTTGAGATGTACTCTAGTACATTCAGTAGCAGAGACTCTGCCTTCAGGTGAGGACCTTACTCGTGAGAGGAAACGGTGCCTTTTTCCCACCAGGGAAGCTTGCACTGGTTCTGACCCTGCCTGCCTGGCTCAGGAAATGGTTCTCACCCCCAGAAATCACTCCTTTTCGCGAGAGAAACATTCATAAAGAGCGCTGAGCGGCAGTGTCTGTGGGTTTTTTTAAAAACCCTATAACTTCAGGCACAATGGACCCACTGATGGTTATGATACAGGTGATAGAAGGAAGGTAAGGGGGTAAAACCCAAGTTCATTCTCATGTGTTCTGCCAAGTGCAGCGAAGGGTGTGTTGAAAATGCCCGGGAACATTGTGACTGGAAGACTATAAAGTCATGAAAATGCATCACCTTTGTGTTTTGGTTCTTAGTTTTGCTCCTGGAGAAGATAGAGCACGACGACATCTGCAATAAGACCCTGAAGATCACGGACTTCGGGCTGGCCAGAGAGTGGCACAGGACCACCAAGATGAGCGCGGCCGGCACCTACGCCTGGATGGCCCCCGAAGTCATCAAGTCGTCGTTGTTTTCCAAGGGAAGCGACATCTGGAGGTGAGCACCAGGCGCTTTGCTTTTGCAGACGAGTGCAGAAGCCGGTCCTTTAAGTGAGTCCCAGAGCACTCAGTGACCCTGAGCATGAGGCCTTCTGGAAAAGGCATTTGTAGTTTTGATCATAATCACAGTGGAACGAGTAACTTACGGTTTTATTGTCACGACTTCCATTTGATGGGAGAACCTTCTTGTTAAACCTGAGGTTTGATTAAAACTGGTTAGAATTTGAGTTAATGATAACACCGAGATTTTTCAGTAAATAAAATAAAATTTTCACTTTAAGCAAAATTTTCATCCCTTAGGATTCACAGGCAGAATAGTAGCTTGGAAGGAGTTTGGGATTAGATAGTGTCTTCCACCGATTAAAGCTTCCAGTTTGAGAATGGAGAGCTGGACCCAAAGGGGATCCCAGGTTAGGTGGATTTTCCATTCAGCTGTGGGTCATCAGGGGGTGAAGACACTGTCAGTAACAGACCGACAGAGGCAAATTACCCTGTTTAATAGTTGCCACCCACCAGGGCTTACTTCCCGCTACTTAGTGCTCGTGAAATCCTGTGTAGTTTTTTGGATTCTGAAAATATTATAAAATTAATTGCAGTGTATTAAAATTCCAGTTTTTTTCTCTTGTTGTTTTTTAACAGTTTATTGAGATATAACTCACATATCATACAATTTACCCATTTAAACTGTCTAATCCATTGGCTTTTGGAATTTAATGCACCACAAAAATTTTTCAATATTTTTGTAATCCAAAATAGAAATCCTACACCTCTTAGCTGTGACCCCTAACACCCCATCCCTGCTAGGCCGCCACTGATGTTCATTTTGTATCTTTAGATTTGCTTATTCTGGACATTTCATATAAATATGTGCTCCTTGGTGACTGGCCTTTTTCATTTAGCATGATGTCCTCAAGGTTCATCCACGTTGCAGTGTGTGACAGAATTCCCTTCCTTTTTGTGGCTGAATGATATTCAGTTGGATGGATAGACCACATTTTGTCTCTCTTCTTCAGTTGATGGGCATTTGGGTGTTCCCACTTTTTGGCTATTCTGGATAATGCTGCCACAAACATCCATGGACAAGTTTTTGTGAGAACATTTGTTTTCAGTTCTCTTGGGTATATACCTAGGACTTAATTGCTGGACTATATGGCAATTAAGTAGTTAATCATTTGGGGAGCTGCCAGACCATCTTCCAAAGCCGCTGCTCTGTTCCCTTCCCACCAGCAGAAGGGTTCCGATTTCTCCACACCCTTGCCAACACTTGTTGTTATCTGACGTTTTGATTCTAGCCATCCTCGTATTTTGAAGTGGTATCTCACTGTGGTTAAAATTCCAGGGTTTTTCTACATAAGAGAAAACTAGGGCTAAGCGAGGAAATGTCACTTGCTAAGAGTCCATATCTGATAAGTGGCAGAAGTACTGCTGTTTGAGTCCAGATCTTTCTGACTCTAAAGTCATAATCAACAGAACTTGTTTCCCCTGCAGTCACTGGATGCACCAGACGTTACTCTCAAATTCACACATCAAGCCAGTGGCAGAACCCTGCTAGTTCAACCTCACCTTCTGCATTTAAAATATAACTTAATTGTTCTAGTCTTGACTTCTAAAAAATTTGTCAACTGTGTCAGGGGTTTCAGAGTGTCCTGGGGTCATTTGGTAAAACACAGATGCCTGAGCCTTTAGTTAACAATTGGACTCTGCGGGTGGAGCCTCAGCACGAGTGTCTTTATGAAACATCAAGTGGTTTTACCTAGATTTAATTACAGTAATTTTCTCACCAGATGATACCAAAATATGTACATGAAATAGGTGATTCTTCTAAGAAATTATACTTCAAGACTCTGAAAACTTATAAAATACATCAAAACCAATTTTACATTTAAAATAATATTACTTAAGACTACAGCCATTTCATTTTGTGTGCTTCCTTTATAAACTATGTAATTACACACTAAGTGAACGCTGTGCAGTCTACTCTATATAAATGCTTTAGAACAGCCCCAATTATTGTAAACATAGGGAGAACCAATGGGGAAGAAAAAAATTTCTAAAACCAGCCAAAATACAGGTTTCTGAGTCTGTACAGTCTTTGGAGAGGTTTGTCTCTCAGAATCTGTTTATTTCTAATCCTCAGTTTTACAAGCTGCATTATCGAATTTTCAGTAAAAGCGTAATTAGAAGGGGGAGAGGGAGGCTACGCTGGGATAGTAACAACGGGCAGCTGGAAGCAAAATAGGGGCAGGAAGGAGCAAAGCTCGGAGCGCCGTGGAAAGGACTGGAAACCGCTCACCTCCAGGGCCGCCGAGCCCGCTGCCCTAGTGAAGCGCCCGGGCCCGGGATGTGGACGTGGGGCGGGGCGGCCACCGCACTGTGCGGGCCTTGCTTTCGATCCCCTTTTGTAACAGTCCCGCAAAAACGATTTCCTTCGGGAAACACTGCTGCTCCCTGTGCAGTGCTGTGGACGAGTGCCTTTCCCGGTGTGTGCACATGTGCCTCCCGGTGTGTGCACATGTGCCTTTCCCGGTGTGTGCACATGTGCCTTTTCCGGTGTGTGCACATGTGTTTCCCGGTGTGTTCACATGTGTTTCCCGGTGTGTTCACATGTGTGTTTCCCGGTGTATTCACTGGTGTGTTTCCTGGTGTGTTCACTGGTACCTTTCCCAGTGTGTTCACATGTGTGTTTCCCAGTGTGTTCACATGTGTTTCCCGGTGTGTTCACATGTGTGTTTCCCGGTGTATTCACTGGTGTGTTCACTGGTACCTTTCCTGGTGTGTTCACATGTGCCTTTCCCGGTGTGTTCACATGTGTGTTTCCCGGTGTGTTCACATGTCCCTTTCCCGTTGTGTTCACATGTGTGTTTCCCGGTGTGTTCACTGGTGCCTTTCCCAGTGTGTTCACGTGTGTTCCCCGGTGTGTTCACATGTGCGTTTCCCGGTGTGTTCACATGTGCGTTTCCCGGTGTGTTCACTGGTGCATTTCCCGGTGTGTTCGCATGTGCGTTTCCCAGTGTGTTCGCATGTGCGTTTCCCGGTGTGTTCACTGGTGTGTTTCCTGGTGTGTTCATATGTGCGCTTCCCGGTGTGTTCACATGTGCGCTTCCCGGTGTGTTCACTGGTGTGTGTTTCCTCTGTGCCTGCTGGCCTCCCTCCTTCCTCCAGACCAGCTGTTACGCTCCGAGATAACTGAGACGGGTGTTATCGTTGAGTCTGGACAATGCCTCCTGTGCCCCAGCTTCACAGGGTTGGTCCCAAGGCACTGAGCGGTTCGGAAGCTTCCTTAGGGTGCTAGTGAAGTAGCTGACCGGGGTCCCGGCCTGAGCTCCGTGCTCCGGCTGCCACAGCCCTTGACTGTCAGGCCGCCTGAGTGCTCAGGACTGGGCGTCGTTTATCCTGCGTCTTCCCCAGTTTCCGAGAACAGAAAAATACGCGCTGCCCTTTGGAAATACAGTGCCGTCGGGACAGCCCCGGTTTCCCCGTTAGTTTGACCTGGGCGAGCCCTCTTCTCGCTGGAAAACTGAGCCACCCTGACCCCTCGTTCTCTGAAACTTCCCAGAAGCAAAGTTCTGTTGCTCTTGTTTGGTTTTGTTTTCTTTGCTAATGAGCATAGCAAGGAAGCTCCTTTGAATTTAGACACTTTTCAGTTATTCTCAGGTTGTTTTGGTCCCCTGCTCAGAGGGGACTTTTATTGATTGATCTGTGAGTTAAATTCACTTATTATTAAAATTAACAAGGTGTCTCTGCTAATGAACCATAATATAGATAATTTTCGAGAAACTAAACAGATAACCGTTGAAAAATATTGGTTGCTACCTCATTGTGAATACTGTAATTATAGCATTATGTAACTTACTACTACATTATATATTTCTTTTTAAAAATGCGCAAGCTAAACAGAAACAAGCTCACGGATACAGAGAGCAAACTGATGGTGGCCAGATGGGAAGGGGGTCGGGGGATGGGTGAAAAGGTGAAGGGATTTAGAAATACAAATTGCCAGTTATAAAAACAGTCACGGGATGTAAAGTTCAGCACAGCGAGAATGGTCAAAATCACAGTAACTGCATGGCGCCAGGTTAGGCTGATCTGGGTGATCACTTGGTAAGTTACATGAATGTCTAGTCACCACTGAGCTAATATAAAATTATATGTCAACCATAACTGAAACAGAAGGTTAGTCTCTAAATTGCACAAAATAAAAATAAATAAAAATTAAAAGAGTGCGTTGAGATTGTCAAGCAGATATCTCTGTATTGTGTAGGTGGGTGAATGCAAGGTCAGCGTTAAGGGCCCTGCGTGTGGAGACATAGCTAGTAGGCAGTGCTACCCCCAGAGGTCTGCAGATCCAGTTGTCACTCGGTGGTGCCTGTCGCTCCTGTTCCGAGCAGGAGCAGGAGCCCGGCCTCGGGGGCTCGGGACCCATACCCTCAGCTGGAGGGCCCCCGAGGCCCTGCGACTACACGCTCGCAGTTTCTACAGTATTCAGTCCAGAGCAGCGATTTCCAACCTTTTCATGGCACGGCACACGACTAAGTGCCAAAATTCTGCGGCACACCAAAAATATATATTTCTGCTGATCTGACAAAAAAAGTAGGTCTGATTTTCATTGGCTCACACGGGTCGGCTATCGTGTTGGCTGTCGTCACTTGTTTATTTGACAGTCTAAGGGGAAGGAGGTCAGTGCCCCTGACTAAAAGGCGGGTGTCGCATGTTTTAACAATCCTTGCGGCGCATGGGTTGGAAATCGCTGGCCGGCAGTCTGACAGGCACAGAAGGAGGGACTTGGATGACAGTCATCTTGTCCACGGTGCCCTGAGCCTGGCGTGCCGAGAATCCCCAGCTCGCTGCGACCCGGACTGGGACCGGGACCCCCTCCCACGGGCTTTTCTGTTGTATCTGTGATGTGGGGAACCCGCATCTCCTCAGATCAGAAGAGAATCCAAAACTCAAGTCTTTTTTTGTTTTTTAACTTAAACCGAATGAACTGATGAGAGAAGGAAATAGGACTGTAGGACGTTACGAGTTACGTTAATAGAGATGAAAAGGAAAGTGAGTGTGACTTGTGTGTGCTTACGCGTTTCTTTGAAAGGCAGCGCGTGGTCTGGGGACTGATTTTGGTGTGTTAGCAAAAGATAACTTGGGCGCACTTCATATTTGGAAGAAGGTAAGGGGAAACTGAGGTACTGGCCANATTTTGGTGTGTTAGCAAAAGATAACTTGGGCGCACTTCATATTTGGAAGGGGAAACTGAGGTACTGGCCAGTCTCGCAGAGGAAATTAAATCTCTAAATGTACAGACTTACGTCTGGGCTCCTCTGTGCTGCCTGGAGGTCTGCGGCATGCACGTGGAGTGCAACCTGGTCCTTCAGCTTCATGCAAAACATTGACTGCAAGTCCTTCAGCTGTCCTTCGTCGCGGTTTGTAACTGCGTTTGCCTTTGACGACCTGGAGCAGCCGGGACCTGCGTCGCCCTTGCCGCTCCCCGCAGAGCTCGGCAGCTGCTGTCCTTCTCGGCTTTTCCTCCAGACGGAGCAGGGACAGGGACGCGTGTGCTGCCAGCAGGCGCAGGAGGCACCTGGGTCCCTCTGGCCCGTTACTGTCGAGCAGTAACAGTAAGATGTGAGAGGCAGAGAGATNTGCCAGCAGGCGCAGGAGGCACCTGGGTCCCTCTGGCCGGTTACTGTCGAGCAGTAACAGTAAGACGTGAGAGGCAGAGAGAAACGGTTACGGAAAACTGTTTAAAAATCCTCAGTCGGCGGGATTGGATCTATCCCGGGCGTGCAGCATGGGATTTACTGGGACGAGACTCCTCATGTTCTCAGTCCTCAGGAGGGTGTATGTGGTTGTGGAAAAAATGAGACAGAAGGAGGGATGTCAGAACCAGCACGTTACTCAGAGCGCGCCCGGGCCTGGAGCCTGCTTAGCTCGGTTACCGCTGCCCTGAGCTTTCCTGTTCATCAAGTCCTTTGAACCCTGTGACGAACGCACAGCTGATTTCGGGGGATGCATGTGTCTGAGACATTCACCCCTCGCCTGGGACGAGGCCGCTTTCTCGGGGGGGAAGGTCCTTACTAGCAGCTGGAGGAAGGTCCTGATACATTTGTCCCTGCAACTGTGTCATGGGGAATAAACCATTTTACCCATTGACCTTTATGGCAACTTTGCTTTCTAGCTACGGAGTCCTGCTGTGGGAGCTGCTCACGGGGGAGGTCCCCTACCGCGGCATCGACGGCCTCGCTGTGGCCTACGGGGTGGCGGTCAACAAGCTCACTTTGCCCATCCCATCCACCTGCCCTGAGCCCTTTGCCAAGCTCATGAAAGGTACCTGTGCACCCCTGAATTTGTGTGTCTGTGGGGATAGGGGAATCACTCATTAGAACAATTATATATACTTTTAACCAAAAAAGAAATGTCTGTGGTCCTGATTTTCAAATGTTTGTAAGTACTTATACTATTTTGGAGTTAGAAACCTTGTCTTTGATCTAAGATGTCAGGTCAGGTTTTGATGAAGTAAGTAATGTAAAAACAGTCCAGTTTTATCAGTGACTCATTTATGTACAAAATTCAGCAGAATAGCAATAAAGTCTGCACCAAGTACACTAGTAGGATTCAAAGACAATATTGAGCTGGCTCCAAATCTGCTATTTTAAATCTCACCTAATGATCAAAAACACTCTACAGTCTTACCTGGCATCGTTTCCCATGACCACCTGTATGTGATTCTGCTCTCTTAAAAATTAACTAACTTTTTATAAGCAGCAAGTTATCTTACTGGTTACTAGGCTGTTTCTTAGTGCCTCTTTTGTGATTATAATATTTCAGAGACTGGTTTTCTCGTTGAGTTATAGGCCTCTCTATCAATAAATCATCCGGCCAGGCCAGCTCGGGCCCTGACACAGTTCATGGTATGGCATGGAAAGCACATGTCCACATGCTAATGTCACATAACACAGACAACACGGGCCTTACCTCACAGTAATTATCATGCATGCCACTGACATGGAAACTGTAAAATAAAATTTTCAAAATCATTATCAATAGACTTAAAAAATCTTCAGCAGATACTGTCAACAGGGCTGATAATGTGAAGTCCGCTGAGAAATGGCCTTTCTGAGACTCTCGTTTATTTCAGAATGCTGGCAGCAAGACCCTCACATTCGCCCGTCATTTGCCTTAATTCTTGAACAACTGACTGCCATTGAAGGGGCAGTTATGACCGAAATGCCTCAGGAATCTTTCCATTCCATGCAAGATGACTGGAAGCTGGAAATTCAGCAGATGTTTGATGAGCTGAGAACAAAGGAAAAGGTGAGGAGCACATATTTATTTAATTGCCTAATATACCCACATTTATGAAGATTATGGAAAATATGAGTCAACAACCACCACTAGCATTATTCTAAAATATTTGCAGACATCAGTATTTATTGATTCTTGCTTTTCAGTTAAAACAAAACAGAGCTGTACTTGAAATGTGGAATTTGCAAAGAAAAAAATATTTTATTTGGGGAATTTTCAAATGTTAAATAAAATGAGAGAATGGCTTGATAAAACTTTTATATGCATTAACCAGCTTCAGTAAAAATTGTTGATATTTTGTTCTCTTTTCTCCATTATCATCTTTTTAAAATTTTTAAAAAATATTTAATTTTTTAAAATATATTTTAATTTTTAAAATTTTTTATTTAATTATTTTTTAATATATCTTTATTGATTTCAGAGAGAGAGGAAGGGAGAGGGTGAGATAGAAACATCAATGATGAGAGGGAGTGATTGATCGGCTGCCTCCTGCATGCCCCCCACTGGGGATCGAGCCCAAAACAAAAACCCGGGCATGTGTCCTGCCCAGGAATCAAACTTCGATCTCCTGGATCCCAGGTTGATGCTCAACTGCTGAGCCACGCTGGCCAGGGTTTTTTTTAACTGGGGTATTTTACATTAAATTGTAGACTCACATCATTTTACCCGTAAGTGCTTCAATTTGCATCTCTAACTAGTAAGAATTTTCAAAATAACTTTCTGCCATTATTATCTCAAAAAATAACACATGGTATTCCTTGATACCATCTAATACTCCATATTCAAATGTCTTTGTCTCAGGTCTTAGAGTTGGTTGGTACAAATCAGAATTTAAACGAGGTCTGCGTGTTGTTTTTAGTTATATCTTTTAAAGGCTCTTTTATGCTAGGTCCCCTTTTTTTTTTTAATCTCCAAATTACTGCTTTTTTTGAGAAACTGGGAAAATGTATAATTTTTGAACTTTCTGAGTTAAGCTCTGATTGGTTTATATATTTTAAGAAGAAGAAAAAAAATAAGCCTGTAGGTTAAACCTGTTGAAGCTGCATTTATATTCCTGCAAAGTGAATTACAAGAAGTCAAAACACAGCCAATTAGAAGGCAGCCTTGTGGGGAAGTGAGTTTGCTAAGCATGGTCTCCTTTGACTGGTCGCAGATGACTGTTAATGGTCCCTGAAGAACCCCAAGTCCAAGCACAGTTCTGTGCTTTGGAAGCCATCCTTATTTTTTGAAGATATTTTTGTAATACTAGAGTGTTTTGATGAGTCAGGTTTATTCTGATGGTCTGAAGTGTTTAACTGTTCAAAAGGTAGAATTCTTCTATTGTGGGTGCAATAAATGGGCTAAAGCACAACAGTGCAAGTTTCTGATAACCGTTATAAAGCCAAATAGTTTTCCAAGAAGGAATTTCTATTCCTCATGTATTGGTGATTTTAAAATAGCAGAATTATTTTTAGGCAATAACACTTTGCTAAATAAAGAGTCTGCTTGCTTATTCAACACTGTATGACGTCGAAACATGGGATGATGGTATGGCCAAGAGTCATTCTCTCGTGTCAAAGTGACCTTGACTCGTGTAGTGTGGCTCTGAATCCCATCTCTATAGACTTTCACATCAACCATAATCCTAAAGGCCCGGAGCCAACCTCAGTGCAAAGGAAAGGGCAAAAGGGAATAAAAAGGTATAGTTTAAACTTATTTACGTAAGCATTTCCTGAGCCAGTATATACATACATAATACTGTGCGTGGTATCAAGACATCATATGCCTAAATTCTGCCCTCGAGTAGCTTACTTTTGTTGTTTTGCTGAGTTGAGAATGAATGCTATGTACGTCACAGTTATTTCCCAAAATGCAAATTGTTTTCTTTAAAAAAAAATGAATTCCAAACTTGTCTATGGGAAACTGTTAGGAGTTTCAACACTGTAGTTTTTTTTCCAGCAAACGCACATTGAATATCTACTGTGTTCTGGGGGCAGTGTCAGAGTCCTGGGACACAGAGATGGATACGGCGGTCTGTGTCCTTGAATGGTGCTTTGAGTACCAGGCTGGGGATTTGGATCTCGTTGACAAGTTTGTAAAAGGGGCTTCATGTGCTATTTTGGCAACACTTTTAGGCCAGATACTGGAGTCAACCTCCTCCTCTTTCCTACCCCCTGCCTTTCCTCATTCTGCCTCCTCTTTTGTGCTAATGGGATTACTGTTCTCTCAGGGACCCAGCCTCAAGGGTCTTTGAGGATGTTTCTCGTGGTCTCCTATGTGACAGAGACCATCCGTGGTAACTTGCTCCCCTAACCCCCATATCCTCATATCACCTGATTACTGCAGCAGCACCCTACCTGGTGGCTCAGTCTTGCCCCCCTTACTGATCCCCTCAGCACCGCAGTGACCCCTCCAAACGCAAGTCTGAGCATCTGTGCTGCAATGGCCAACCCTGTTTCCTTATTAACTTCCCTTGTCCTGCCATAGTTAGCCTCACTCTGTCAGCAGCCATTCTGAATCCTTCCAGTTCCTCTGATTCGTGCGCTTGACTTTTGGCCTTTGTTATAGTCTGTCCTCTGTCGAGAACATTGTCCCCTCCCAAGCTTTCATTCCCCACCCCACAATCGCTGGCTCCTGCATTCTTAGTCCTTCAGTCCCCTTCCCTTGCTGCACCAGATAAACTCATGTCTTAGGCGCCTGCACCTCCCTTATCATGGCTGGACTAAGTACATTATTGTTATTATTTGCTTGTGTAACTGTTCTTAGTTTGCCTTTCCATTAGATAATAAGTTCATAAGCTATACTGTTTTATTCTTGGTCATTTTCATCCACACCACTGAACAAAGTACAAAGTATAGTACATGGTAGGCATTAAATAAGTACATTAAATAGGCCTAAGTAAAATTTCTTAATATGCTTCTGATGTGTATTTTAGTAGGTGAGAGATACCAGCAATCATTATTATCATTATTAGTGCTATTGTAAGTGAAAAAGGAATTTAAAGGTATATAAATGTTAGGAACGCTATTATGAATCTTATGCTATAACAGAGGCATATAACCCAGCTGTTTAACAGCTGGTTATATATTCTTTTTTTTAAAAAAAATATATCTTTATTGATTTCAGAGAGAAAGGGAGAGGGAGAGAGAGAGAGATAGAAACATCGTTGATGAGAGAGTCATTGATCGGCTGCAGCCCGCAACCTGGGCATGTGCCCTGACCAGGAATCAAACCCTGATCTCCTGGATCCTAGGTCGACGCTAACTGCTGAGCCACGCCCAGCTGGGCTGGTTATATATTCTTGAGAAACTTCCACACACATGCAATAACCTTAAGGAAATTAAGGTTATTCACTTAAGTATTGTTTGTGTTAGTGAAAAACTGGAAGCAACCCCGATATCTATTAATAGAGGAATAGGTGCCTAAGCTCTTGTGTATTTATATAATGGGGAGTTTAAATGAATAAACTCCAGCTACATGTTTCAACATGGATAAATCTCAAACATAATATTGGGTAGAAAAGCAAGCTGCAGAGGAATATTTCCATTACATACTGTTTACATAAAACCACATAAAACAAAACTATTCATATGTACAACAAGTCTAAGAGGAACTGAGTGCAGAACATTAGGTCTGAAGGGAGAGGGGAGGGGGAGGGTCAGAGCCTAGCACACAGGGCTTGGACAGACCCGAAACACACATGGTGAAAAGTTAACAGCTATTAAGTATTGATGGTGTGTGCATGGGCATTGGCTGTTCCACTTATAGTATGTTTTAAATATTTATAACTTAAAATGATTAAAAATAAAGGTTAAAGAGAAATATATAAGCTGCAAAAGTCTTTTCGTTTGTTTCCTAAAGTCATTTTTTTTCAAGTAGTAGTAAATTTACAGGTAATCCACTCTGTTCCTTAGATTTTTTCAGTATTTTGTCAGTTTAAAAATACAGAACAGGCAAATGCAACCTTAGACTCTGACCTGCTATAAATCCATAGAACTCATGGAAGAAATAACAACCCTGTTTGGCTGCTCAGATCATATGCATGGTGTTGTGTCTGACTGTCAGCCTCCCAGGGACGGTGGCGAAGGCGGGAGAGGGACCCAGACATCTGAGCAAAGAACAGAGTTTGACACAGAGGGGTGGGGGTTGTGGGGCTGCCCTCCGACACTGGAAGCGCCTTCAAAGCAGATGAGGGAGGAAATAGGTTTTGTGTTATTTTACATTCAGAGGTAGGACCTCTTGGCTTCCAGGGATTAAAATTTGGCCCGAATGGAGAACATTCTAGCACTCGGAGCTGTCAGCTTCCTTCCCTGCAGGAATCCACGTGGTCTGCAGGGGTGTCTACGCAGGATTCTAAAAACCTCTGTCGACTTTCCCCCCACTTTTGTATTAAGTCTTTAGCAGAATGCCAGGATCTGTAGCAGCCTGGTGTCGTGGCTAAGACAAGACACTGCAGCCAGACAGCCTGCTTGGCACCGGGCTCTGCCATTTGCTGACCGGGGACAGCTTTCCCATCCTAGGTGTCCCAGGAGCCCCGTCTCGGGTAGGCGCCTGTCTCTTATAAGTGCTGGATAAGAGTTACGTGTTAGCCTAAGAACCAGGAAAGTGGCGGCTCCGACGGAGCGGGGCCGGCTCCAGCAGCCGCCCCCTTTCCCACCCAGACGTTGGGGAGTCGAGCGATCCTGGGAAGTGACTGACTGGATTACTCCTTAAACCCTGCAGCTCTGTGAGGGATTATCATCAGTGATGTTATTAATATGTTTCTTGGGAACTTTAATACAATTTGTTGACTTAAAATGATACAGAAAAGACTCTGATGGGTTTTGGGATTTTTTTTTTTTTTTACACTTCCCCAAATTGCCAAATTGTTTTCAGGAATTCTAAAATTAGATGTTTAATAGCAAAAGTGAAAAAAAAAGATTTTGGGGAATAGGAGAGGACTTTGAGGAAAAATAAAATTTCAAATGAGAGAATTTAAAATAGGGAAGTAATGTAAATAATTAATTGTTGCTTAGGCTATTTTGTTTAATTACTTTTAATTAATGATACTTATATCAGTAGAGGTATGTCCAGTGAGCTAATTCTTATTGCGTGTGGTGTAAAAATGAAAAAGCTCCACAACTGGATTCTGCTCTTTCGCCCTTTTGAGGACACGTAAGAATAGTTCCCTTGTTACTCTGAGGTCACCGGCTGAGCTATACCACCGCTTTTTCTATGTGATATGCANGGACACGTAAGAATAGTTCCCTTGTTACTCTGAGGTCACCGGCTGAGCTATATCACTGCCTTCACTTTTTCTATGTGAAATGCGNCCTTGTTACTCTGAGGTCACCGGCTGAGCTATACCACCGCTTTTTCTATGTGATATGCACAGCGCTCCTTGAAATACGGCATTTTTGGTGTCCTGTGAGCCTTCGGTTCGCAGCGAAAGCCTGTGCAATCTTTGTCTTTGCCCAGAGGTCTCTGCCTGCATCTTTCGCTGGAGTCCAGCACCGTGTACGTGCTCTATCTCCCTTTCTCCGCTGATTGCTCAAGGTAGGAGGCGTCAGACTTGGAATTAATGGGCAGTGACTGGGCCGCGCTCCGTGTTACTCAGTAAACTGTAGCCTCCATAGATACTGGTTCCTCCCTAAATTCCTGGCTGCTTATCTCTGTGTGTCTGCCTTTGTACGTTGGGTGCACAAAGTGTCTTTGAACCACTGTGAAGGCATGTCACCATTAATGATTAACATCTGCCAGGAGTCTGGATTTGCCATTAGAGTGGCCTGTGCCAAGCAATTAAACAAATATTACTACTTAGTAATCTCAGCAACCAAAAGTTTTCTGTGTGCTTCACAATTTCAAAGTATTCAAAAGGGTTCTAATACCCCATAGGGGTTTTTTTTCCCCCTTTTACTTCCGAATGTTTGAAATTTATTCCGAAGGAAGAGTTCTGTGGCTGCTTCCTCTCTGACCTTGGTCTTTTCTCTTACAAAGTCTTAAGCAAGTGATTTTTTTTGTTTTAATTCGCCAGCATTTTCAAGGGGATTCACATCGTAGCTCGGGACCTGGAATTAAAAATGGTTTCTTACTCAGTGACTGTGGCAGTAACACAAAAGGCCTGATTGAATCTGCTGACCTTATCTCTTCCTCAGGCCATTTCATTTTACAATAGCTAATTGGATTGACATCAACACCACTGAAAAGTAATATCTTAACAAAAGGGCAGACGGTAATGAGTTCGAAATTGAAAGTGCCTGGAAATTACCCTCTGTCCCCAAATACTCCACAGTAAAATCCCCGATTTGGACACACGGGTTGGAGAAAGGCCCCAGTGAAACAATGGATTCCATACTTTTTTTGGAATATGTAACATTGTCTTCGGTGTTTTTTGTTTTTGTTTTTGTTTTAGTTTTTCCTAGCAGTGCATGGCAATTTCTGTCTGGCACAGTGTCCTGAAGAAATGCCAACCTGCTCTGTAAATAAGGATTAGCAGCTGGATGTTAGCAGGAGTGATTTGAATATCAATTGGTCTTAAGTAAATCCTTTCTCCTGCAATTTTGGTTATGAAGTTTGTTCAGAAAAATAAATTTAAAGAATTATCTCAGAGGTGGACTTCAGTCCACTTCGGTAGAAGTACCGTAAGTTCGGAATTCGTTGGATCCGAATAAATGACGTTTGTGTTTAGAGCTCCCGCCCCTTCCTGGTGGGACCGTGTTTACTGGGGACGGACGGACTCTGTTTATCTTCCTCTGTGATAGTTGCACTGACAGCTTCCAGTTACTTGAGTCCATCTGCAAAAGGCCAAGGGCATCGTGGGCTCGAGTGGCATTTTAGTCCCGGGTTCTGCTCTGGTGGTTTCCCCGAGCCACATCGCACAGTTCCTGGACGAATCCCGTTTTTGAAGGGGGCCTGTGTGGTTGTATAAAGTGTGACAGGTTTGCGCAGCGCTCCCAGGGCTCCCAGCCCAGCCCCCCGAGAAGGCGGAGCTCCTAACAAAGTGTTTGGCACTAAGATGGAGTTTGTCCCAAGCAGTGTCACCCCGAGTTTGCGGATGTCTTGACTTCCGTGGGGGCTCCATTTAGTAGCAGAGGAACTAGAAGGGAAAGGAGTCCCCCACCGACAGGAATATTTGTCCCTGGGAAAGAACAGAACACCTTGCAGAAGTGAAAGATAAGGGGTGAGATTGAATAACTTTGTCGAGTTCTCACTTTCACTGTTGAACACATTTTTCATAGGCATACGAGTTCATACATCCTTCAGTTCATAGATTTTCTGTTTCTCAGTTCAGTCATTCTAAAACAAACCCAAGAGGAAGCCGGACTTAATCAGAAAGCATGGTGGCAGAGGGACTTCTGTTAGCTAATTCATGCCACGTGCCACCTGTGGATAAAGTGGCACTTGCCTCATCCACGCATCCTGGAAAGTTCTTTGTAACTGGATACATTTTTCATTGGCTTATAATTGTAGAGATGCCTCATTTCCGCGTCTGATGGGCCTTCAGCGGACTCCTGACACATTAGCCGTGTTCTTTCCCGTAATCTCTCCACAAAGATGTTTTCATCTCTAAGCAGATCCTTAAATGCCCTAAGAAGTCCCTACCGACAGAAACCCCAACTGCAGGCTTTTGTAACTAGAATAATTATACTCTCATTAAGCGAAGCTCTAACTTTGCGTTTATTTTAGAATGGATCACGCGCATCCTCACTTTGTTGCTATGTGTTAATGTACATTTTATGTGTCGGGGGGTTATAGAGGCAAGAGATGAAGAGAGAGAAATGTGAAAATCGCGTTTTAAAAAACTGCGATGCGTCTTTAAGCCGGTGACCTGCCGCCCAGATGCCAGCCCTGGCTGCCGGGCGCGGTGACCAGGTGCCTGGGCGATGACGCGGTGTCCTCTCTGTCCCAGGAGCTGCGGTCCCGCGAGGAGGAGCTGAGCCGCGCGGCCCTGCAGCAGAAGTCCCAGGAGGAGCTGCTGAAGCGGCGGGAGCAGCAGCTGGCCGAGCGCGAGATCGACGTGCTGGAGCGGGAGCTGAACATCCTGATCTTCCAGCTCAACCAGGAGAAGCCCAACGTCAAGAGGAGGAAGGGCAAGTTCAAGAGAAGCCGCCTGAAGCTCAAGGATGGGCATCGCATCAGCTTGCCCTCAGGTACGGCCTGGTCTTCCTGCCGCCCGCGGCCCTGCGCGCCGCCCGGCCGCCGGCCTCTCCGTGTCGGCGGGACCGGGAGGAGATGGGGCGCGAGGGTCTCCAACACTGAGCGTCTGCAGTCGGTCCCTTCGGTTCGTGGGCAGCGCGTAATGAACCACGAGCTCCCACGCGTGGAACGGCACCTCCTTCCCACGGGTTCGCTGATTCCTGCCTTTGAAACCAAAGCAGAATTCCCTTGTCGCCGATCGCGCTGTGCAAGTCGGGGACGACTATCGCCACTGCGTGTCGGGTGTATTGCTCCCTCAGCAGCCGGTATCGCCTGGCAACTGAGCTCCTTTGGGACGCGGAAGATGCTGTCAGCAGGGCGTCCCCCCAAAATGTATACACACTTTGAATAATTATGAACCCCGGTGGGTTAAACCTGCAAAGAAAGAAGCATCAGTTGAGCTGTCAGCTTTAAAGGGTGTGTACAGTGTGTGGGGACACCCTGGGTGTCAAGTACTTTAGTTACTTTCATCCGAGGGTTTAAAGTGCTTCAGGTGTAAAAATGAACCAGGAAATCTAGGGAAGCTTTGAAAAAATTTTTTAAATCATTGTGATGATAACATAAAAGGGATTTCACGTGTTAGGAGAAACTAAGCAGAATAGAAAATAACAAACACATATTTATAAATTAAGTCCTTTAATGTTATGTTTTATACTTGATTTAAGGAAAAACCAAGTGCCCCCTGTATTTTGGGATTCTTTCTAATAGGAGGGAAGGTGGGGGCAGACGGGGCTGGCTGCACATTGTAGGACGTGTATCTGTGTCGACTTACCCTCTATTGCTCCTGTACACTGGGGCATTTTATGGACTCTGTTGTTTTCCTAAGATGGGTGTTAATGGCATGGAAATTTGATTTAAGTAATAACAGCAGTTTCAGTTCATATAAAGTGTGGATAAGTTGTCCTGTAAAAACACTTGTCACAAAAGGCTGGAAGCCTTGCGGCATAGTGGGGGGTTTTCAGGTTATTGCTGAAGCCCCGAGTGATCAGCAGAGCGCGGGTGCGGGGTGGTCACGGGCACACACTGTGCGTTTCTGAGAATTTGGCCGGATGAGGTGAGAATGGGCCCTGGGTCCTTACTCATTTTACCTCTGACCTCTCTCGGGAAAGAAAGAGGCACTTTGCCAGGTTCTGTCTGATGTTTGCTTTTGACTTGGAGGACCACCGACTGGCCTGCCTGTCGTGTCAGACATAATGTAAAAGAGTCTGGTTCATTTATGATGAGCTTCTCCTTTCAGGGATAGACGCTGGAGAAATCCGAGAGGCCCCAGCGTGAGCTCTCCTCTCCAGCTCTTAGCTGTGTCAGCTTTCTTCTGCCTGCGTTGTGACTGTTACTGTCATTAACAGTCATTGATTCACTCGGGAAACTTGTCGGGGGGGCTTGGTGTCTCTTCTTCCTCATTTGTTCCCCGTGATTTGTCACTCCAGTGCCGTGGCCTGGTTCTGAGTTCGAATTCTGAGCCTGGCAAGAGCACGCCTGCCTTCTGCGCTGGGCTGGAGGCCCCTCCTCCTGTAAAGCTCACGGAGAAGTTGCTTCGTGGTGTTGTGACAAGTCACGGGGCTCGCTGAACCTTTACAAAGCACTTCAATCTGAAATAAACTGTTTCATGTCTGTGGGTAAGAATATTTCCTCCTTTTACCATCTTCCCAGCCGCAGTCCAATTCCTCATCACGTCCTGCGGGCCTGTGTTCTCTCTTCCCCTCAAACTGCGTGGCCTGGTCACGAATTTCATAATTTCTCACTTGGTAGATGGAAGAAGCCCCCCATCTGGTACTTCGTTTCTGTTTGCTTTGTCTCCCGGACCCCCTCCGCCCTGCCACATACTTCTCAGCAGTTAACTGTAAGCGCCAGTTTGAACCTATTGCAAAACCTCACACGATTTTCTCATTCAACAAACGCTGAGGATCTACCGTGAACCAAGTACTGGGGATTAAAATAAGATAAACATGATCTCTGACCTCGTGTTACTTATAATCTTAAACAGAGAAAGCATCCATTCAGCAAAGATTTACTAAGCACTTTATGTGTGAGGCTCTGGGATGTTTGGACCGGGATGGGACACAGCTGTGCTGGACGGGGGACCACCTCTGCCCGTGGGGAGCTGACATTGTGCTGGGGGAGGGGTGAACCTTAAGCTAATAATTAAACAAATACTTGTTTTCTTGCTGTAATCATTAACTCCTGGGACAGAAGAGTCCTATGACAGTGGTTAGCAGAGCTGTGACCTGTCTGGGGAGATCTTAGAAGCCCTCCTCAAGAAGCAGCATTTAAAATGAGACTTGAAGTAGGAATTTACCAGATACAAGGGGAAGGCAGAGAAAAGGCAGCCACATGCCAAGAAGGCTCGGGTCCCCCCAGGAGCCGAGAGGAGACCCGTGTTGCACGACCAGGGGTCAGCAAACGACGCCTCATGGGCCACATCCACCTGCCACCTGTTTTGTGCAGCCCACGAGCTAAGAACGGTTTACACACCTTTAAATCCTTGCAAACAGTAAGAGACTATTTCACGGACATGAATTGCGGCGTCCATACTGAAGCCGCATGGGAGCGATGACTGCTTTCTCGCTACCCCGCAGTCTTGAGTTGTGACAGAGCATGTGGCTCACGAAGCCTAAACATTTACCATGTGACGCTTTCCAGCAAAGTGTGCGCCTTGGACCAGGGCGAGGGGCAGGAGCACAGGGCCGGATGAGGCTGAGCGCGCTCCCATTTGCAGGGGCTCCTGGAGCGTGTGCCACATGCTCTGTAACTGTGACCCAAGGATCATGAGGAGCCTGCAAAGGGCTCTAAGCAGGGCAGTGACACGGTCAGGCTGGTGTTTTTGATTGTGTCCGGCTGCTGTGAGGTAGACCAGACGCCCAAACGTAGGTGCAGGAAGACGGACGGATGGAGGGACTGGAGCAGCCTCGGCCCGAAATGATGGACACGGAGAGACCAAAGAGAATCGGCCACGTAGGGAGCGTTTCTTAGGTCCTGAGCCCTGTGCTAAGTATTTTCTCTGCTTCTCTGTATTTCATTTTCTTAGCTGTCCTAGGAAGTAGGAAGCTTTTTTTCCGCTTTTGTAAGTGAACATGCTGAGACGTAAAGAGGTTAACTTGCTTCCCCCAGATTCGTATGGCTGGTTAGTGGTGAACTGGGGTTTAATCCAGGTTTGCCAGCTCCAGAATCCAGAATGTCGATTTCTCAGCTGTAACTCTGAGAAGAACGTGTCCACAGAACTTACAAGATACTTCGCGTTTGATTTGACACGGAGGGTCGGGGAGAAGACACTTTCAAGGAAACTTCAGATTTCCCGCATGCCTGACTGGATCGCCGTCTCGCCCACCAAATTCCAGCTCCTTATTTCAAATTCTACGTGGTTCTTTGAAGTATAATTTTCAAAAAAGTAAACTCTAGCTCTGCAAATATGAAACGAACACGTCAGAGATTTCGTTCGACTCACTCATTAATGAGGGAAGCAGTTAACATTGGTTCAATGGTTAGCGGAGCTCGGTATTTATGGGCCATTTAATAAAGGAATGTTGCGATTAGATTGCTAGGTTAACTACAGACCTGGTTAATGCCCAATATGGCAATAAATCGTAACCTTTGGGACTGTCTTTTTTGCCAGACAGAAATTATTTGCATCACCACCAGACGAAATCTGCGCATTAACCTCTGGCCCTCCTGAGCTGTAAAAATTCCATCCATAGGGAGTCAATCAAAGGTGGAGGCTCTGGGAGGACACCCGTGATTTCTTTTCCTGTGTCTGAGCTTTCAGTGTGTTTTTTGACAGTTTATTAAGTTTTCTCAGCCTCTTCCCTCTGGTAATATTGCTCTTTCTTTCATATATTCCCATAGTTTTTTGCGCATCTGTCAGGACACCTGCCCTCTCTAAAGTCAGGTAACAGGAACTACCGTTTGTAGAGTGCGGTGGCCACAAAGGCTTTTAACTGTGGGAGGGGAAGGAGTTTTTCTTGACCTTCTTAGGACCCCTGTCTGGGTCTGAAAATTAAACTAACAGAGACATCAGCAGGGGAAGCAGAACAATCTGTCTCCTGTAAGTTTTACGCAACACAGGAGCCTTCGTCAGGAAATGAGGACCCAAGGACACCGTGAGGCCTGAGCCTTACGCTGGGTGTGATGTCCTCCTGTCAAATGATAGGTTAAGGAGTATGTCTTAGGTGGTGTGTCCTGAATCCCAGCATAACCTACGCTTCCTGTTTTAATCACCACAGCACCCCTGGGTGTTTTCCTCTGTAACAGTGGGGGGACAGGCTCGGGGGCTTTGCTGCTGGGTTGAGGTCCATAGTTTGTAGTGACAGAACCAGGACCCATTTAAATCCAGAGTCTTCTATTTCCACTTTGTTTCTGTTTTTATGTTTTTTTAATTTTTATTTTTTTCATTAATTTCCGAGAGGAAGGGAGAGAGAGAAACATCAATGCTGAGAGAGTCATTGATCGGCTGCCTCCTGCATGCCCCCGACTGGGGATCGAGCCCGCAACCCGGGCCTGTGCCCTGACCAGGAATCGAACTTCGATCTCCTGGATCCTAGGTCGATGCTCAACCGCCGAGCCACACCGGCTGGGCTCCACTTTGTTTTTAACGGTGTCGGACTGGACGAAGGTAACGCTTCCCGAAAGTTGTATGATCTACAAGCACTTAGTAGCAGTTTTCCCTGTGGGTGTGTCTCGCCCTGTATCTGACAAATAGATGCTGAATCACTATTGACTTGAACCCGAAAAGGCAGATAAATGAGAAGCAGACTCTGAGATATACTTGGTTCTTTGCGCCTGGCAATTTTTGCTCGTATTGCTTTGTGCTAAAGACATGGCTGTGAACGTATCTTAAAACCATGACATCTCAGCTCATCCTTTCTCTCCCATCTGACAGATTTCCAGCACAAAATAACGGTGCAGGCCTCCCCCAACCTGGACAAACGGAGGAGCCTGAACAGCAGCGGCTCCAGCCCCCCCAGCAGCCCCACCGTGATCCCGCGGCTCCGGGC